ATTAGCCAACTGATCGAGATCAAATATAGTTCGCCGCGTGTGTCAATAACACATTTTATACTTTTACTAAGCAATAAATTGTACCGTTTGTTCTGTAAAAGTAGTGTAGTTTTGGGAGCAAAGGAAAGAACTCTGGACATAAATCTACACTACTTGTGGCACTGCGTACATAGTTCTTTGGAACAGTGGAAGGAAGGTGATAAGAATTTGGATAACTGGAGAGGAATTGGACTGTACTGGGAAGAACGATGAGAAGCAAGTTTCGGTGTGTACCCTGTTAGTGTTGTTGGTGGTCAACAGCAATAATCACTGATGATTGAAAACATACTCCAGAAAGAAAATTTAATCATCAAAATAGACGGGTCTAAGGAAAGCAGCAAAAGCATATTTGATCAGTTTCTTACTTGACAACCATTTTAAAGCTTAAAAATGCGATTGTAAGGATGTAGCCATGCAATGCTTGTTTCTGCAAAATGCATTGGTTGACCATTATATAGGCCCCCAAGCTTTGTACAATCGCATATGCTATGCGAATCAAGTAATTGTAAACAGATCATGAGAAAGTTACGAACGAGTTTTCATTTTTGCCCTGGAAACAGGCGCCAATTTGTGAGCGGTGTTGAGAGGATGTAAACAAAGACAAGAAAATTAATATTGTTCAAGCAAAATAACTTAAAAATTGAAAGTGATCGACTCCGCGCCATTCAGACAGGCAGCAGCGGTATGTACTAGAGTCGGTGTATAATGCGCCAAGAGAAAAACAGTTGAACTCGCATCACGGTTTTCGAAAGATTCCCTTTCTTTTAACTTGGCAACAGAGGACTTCTACATCAACTTCAAATGACTTCTAGCGAGAAAAAATAATAGCGGCTGTAGTAAATCATTATATCAGTGATTTTGTCAAATTATACTAACAAAAAATAGTAGAAATTATCATTACTGATCATTACCAAACGTATCCCATGACAATTGAATGCTCACTGCGTGTTTATTATCATTTCTTCGATTATTTTTTCTTTGGTTTGTTTTTTTTCCGTCGATCTTGTTTTCCGTGCTGAGCACCAATGCTACCAACGTGCCAGGAAGGCAGCTCCCACACCTGGACCCCACCTATCGACCCATCAACTCATGAACCGGGGACCAACGGCTTTACTTCCCATCCGAAGGAAGGCGTGATCAGAGATGTTATGCCTCAAAACATCCCGGCGGCGCCGACTGGGATTGAACCCAGGCCTGCTGGGGTGAGAGGTAATCACGCTTACCACTACACCGCCGGCGCCGTTATTTCTTCGATTATATTTTATATGTTATTGCAATATCTTTCGTGGATATTTCATAGCATCGTAATGTTTGTTTACTTTGCACGATAGGTAGCTGGTTTGACAGTTCGATAGGTAGACTTGGCTTAATTTTTTTTTTTTTTTTTTTTTTATACAGGGGGGAATCTGCTCTCAGACACCTGAGAATGAACTCAGGGTGTGGGGTTGGGAGAATTGCTCTCCCGACCCACTAAACCTTACCCTGTGCGCTTGGCCCTTGACCTCCCCGGAACCGCCCGAAGGCATTACTTCGTGGGAGGGGCCGCTATAGCGCTATGGCGATACTACGACCCCAGCGAAGAGCCTGCGCTTACTGGCACTCACTGCCGAGCTGTTTGACCTCATGCGGGATAATGCCCCCACAGCCGTAGGCGCTCTCTTGCAGGCGTACTCGACGTGGCAGTCGAAGCTGAGCTTATCATCGAGCATAACCCCCAAGAGTTTCAGAGAGCGCACAGACCTAATTGTGCTTTCGCCGACTGTCAACGTCGCATGCTGCACCGACATGCGATTGTTGACTACGACCACTTCCGTCTTGTGATGGGCAAGCTGCAGTTTCCTGGATCTCATCCATTCCTCCACAAGCTTTACGGAGTGAGCCGCTGTCAGCTCTACCTCCTCGAGGGATTCCCCGTAGACTACCAGCGTGACAACGTCGGCAAAACCTACAATTTTCACGCCTACTGGGAATCTTATCCTCAACAGTCCATCGTACATGACCTTCCATAACACCGGGCCCAGGATGGAGCCTTGTGGCACTCCTGCGGTGACTCTTACGCATTTTTCGCCATCTTCTGTGTCGTACGTCAACACACGATTCTGGAAGTAGCTTTCCAGAATCTTGTACAGCCCTCCGGGAATTTGGAGCTGGTGTAGCGAGCGGGCTATCGCCCCCCAGCACGCGCTGTCGAACGCGTTCTTCACATCTAAGGTTACCACCACGCAGTAACGAATGCCCCTTCGTTTCCGTCTGGATGACGTCGCGGATGGCTTCCACCGTGGATCTGCCCTTACGGAACCCGTACTGGCTGCTTGACAGGCCGTCTACACCTTCAGTGTAAGCCGACAACCTGTTGAGGATGACCCTCTCAAGCAGTTTACCAGTGGTGTCCAGCAAACAAATGGGCCTGTATGCTGACGGGTCCCCAGGGGGTTTTCCTGGCTTCGGGAGCAGCACCAGCCTCTGCCGCTGCCACGCATCTGGGAAGATGCCTACGTCCAGACAGGTCTGAAAAACAAAACGGAACATGTCTGAATTTTCCGCAACGGCCGCCCTCAGAGCCACAACCGGGATCCCATCTGGGTCCGGGGCCTTGCCCACCACCAGCGACTTGGCAATATCGCTAAGTTCTCTGTTCGTCACTCTAGACACTTCTCCCTGATCGGCGACTGGGATCCGCGGCCAGGAGTCTACGTCCCTCCGTGGACACAAGAACCCAACGATCGACGCCAGCATCGCCGGCGATCTCTCCAGGGGTGCCGCCACGCCGCGGGTCTTGGCCATGACCACTTTGTAGGCATCCCCCCATGGGTTCGTGTTGGCGCTTTGGCATAAGCTGTCAAAGCACGCACGCTTGCGTCTGGCGATCTCTTTATTGAGGGCCGCCTTAGCCGCTCGAAGAGCGACGCGGCGTTCCTCCCGAGATTCAGTCGTACGAGCTCGTTGCATCCTCCTTCTCGCCTGGAGGCAAAACGCCCTGAGGATAGCAATCGACTCGCTCCACCATTACACCGGTCTATGGCCATACCTGGGATAGGCTCTCCTAGGCATGGTTGTATCGCACGCCCTTGTCAGCGATGCTACCAGTTCTTCCCCCGTCAGATCCGGGGTTATTCGCTCCTGCCTCAGTGCTTCGCCGAAGACCTCTTCATCGAAGATCGACGTCCGCCAGCCTCGAGCGCAGGAAGGATTTCCTCCTGCCACTCGCCTCTCACCTGGCCCCACACTGCAGCGGATCGCCTGATGGTCACTATAGATGTAACCCTCATCGACCCTCCAGTGTAGGTTGCCCTCCAAACACGGGCTGCAGTACGTCACATCAATGACGGATTCTGCACCATTCCTTCTGTAGGTACTGATCGAGCCGGTGTTGGCTAGTACAACGTCCAGTTTGGCCATTGCCTCCAGTAGGATGCATCCTCTCTGGTTGGTGTGGTGGCTGCCCCACTCCACCGGCTATGCGTTAAAGTCGCCCGCAATGACCACCGGTCTTAGGCCGACAAGTACCGCAGTGAGTCTGTCCACCATCTGCGAGAACTACTCGATAGACCACCTGGGCGAAGCATAACAGCTACCCTGGCGATCACGAATCCCTCGCTCGAGTTGGACGCGACTACCTCCTGAACGGGGAAGCTTTCCATCGTGCATATCGCCGCCATCCCCAACGCGTCCGTGACCCAATTCCCGTTGCCGGGTGGGACGCGGTACGGGTCGGAGATGATTGCGACATCCACTCCACATTCCGCTGCCGATTGCCATAGCAGTTGCTGGGCAGCCGAGCAGTGGTTCAGGTTCAACTGCGTTACCTCGAACACGGCTGAGCATTGCTCTTGGCCCCTGGGCAGCGTGGGCCACCTGCCATGTGGTTGGTAAGGGATTTCCCTTTCTCCGCGCGTGTAGTGCACTTCGGCGGCTTTTTACAACCTTGCGCCTTATGACCCTCCGAGCCGCACCATCTGCACAGCTTGCTTCTGTCGGTGTTCTTACAGTCCCGAGCCACATGGCCCTGACCGAAGCACCTGAAGCAAGCTGTAACCGGTCGGGGAATACTCACGGGGCAAACCGACCAGCCCACTCGCACCCTCCCTGTGGCTTCACTCTTGGCGTGACTTATTATACACCGACTCCAGTATGTACCAGTACAGTTAGCACTGCGATTAGACTATACCAAAGTGACTACATATAGGTGTTCTAATGTGTCAAATTCATGATTCAGCCATGTTGGATTTTTGTATGGGACAGCGACCGAGTTTGTTTACAATTTCCACTAAAACCGCACTTTTCCCTTCCGCGATCTCCTCGCCCATATAGTGACAAAGCTATATCACCATGGGCTACACGACACACATTACTCGCGTCACTTTAAAATAGCCCAATGTAACATTTCCGCCATATTGAGAAAATCTAATTTGATGTTCGACAGATTATCATTTTAACTGTTTAGAAACAATACATTTTGCAATACTATTTTCACTGTAGTCAGTGAATAATAACGTTGAAAATTCAGTAGAAACGGTTAAATAACAACTTTACTTTGAATTGCATGTTGCATGTTAAAATATAGAGCAAAAAATGCATACGACGTTTTGACTAGTTAAGTTGTACATCGGACATGTTACATTAGACGATTTTTCTCAATGACATTACATTACAATGAGTAATACATTGGACGTTTTGTTCTACATGATACTGGATTCCCTATCACAGATTTCAGAATAGAGTACCTAATCTAACCAAACATCGCCTTTAGAAAATGAGCACCAACCATGAAGGGCAGTCCCAATGTTCGAAGTAACAATCACGTACCCATCATTTCAAACTGTACATTGGGCAATTTTGACCTATGATTATCTTAAATAAATTAAAGCAAATTTGAATTGGTGTTTTTGTATCACATACAATGATAGAAGAGCAACAGTTTGATCGCTTAACTCGATTTGTTTACATTTGTTACTTAGAACCTTTTAAAAAGTTATGCGAGATTACTTCGCGAAACCCTATAATTACCCAGTAGCTAGCCGACTACGGCTGTTCCGGATCTTCCGCTTGTTGAAAATACTGATCGACTTAGAGAATTGACTAAATACCAACTAGGCGCTAGCAACTGCCATGTAGTTCTGGTTTTAAATGATTTACACAGCATCGAAAACAGTTTGTCTAAGTTTTCATCTATTTGTTCGAATACATTTCCCAACTTTTTGATGTCTTCCCTTGTAAGCTGGAGTATTCTTCTAAACAGCAGTTTTCGATCCCCGATCTTAACCTTGGCAAAGTCCCTCGACAGTGCAACGGTAAACTTCCTATCAATCAACTTACTGGCAAGGAACAAAAGTGCGTCAAATTTCGATTGATCGGATGATCGTGGCAACACCAATCTTCTAAACTTATGTTCATTGAACGAACCACTCACAAACTGCTTATAGGTCTTACACAAAGTCTTCATATATTCTTCATCGTACTCGCGTTCACCAAACAATTGCACTGTTGTTGCGACTTCAAATGATTCAATCAGCATCGAAAAGAGGTTTTCTAAATTATCATCTGTTTTCTCGATTATATTCCCCAGCTCTCTGATGTCTTCATTAGCAAGCTTAAGAATGCACTTAAACCGCAGTTTTCGATCTCCGAGCATAATCGTGGCGAAGTCCTCTGTCAGTGCAATGGATGAATTATGTTTAATCAGCGTACGAGCAAGGAACAAAAGTGCGGCAACTTTCGATTGGTCGGATGAACATGACACCATCAGTTCTTCGAACAACTGTTCATTGAACGAACCATTCACAAACAGCTTGTAGGTTTTACACAAGGTCTTAATCCGATATTCTTCGAGTTCGCGTTTGCCATTTTCCAACGATGGAGCCACATGATTACAGAAACATATGGAAAAGGCAAATTTTGTCCGATGATCTAACGGCATTTGACTCCAGCTATTCTCCTGGAGCAGAAATTCAACTGACCCAAAGATAGATTGCGCATAGTCAGCATCAATGAGTATCTGTAGGCCATAATCGATGAAATACATGAAACCCTTCACAATGTATGACCAGCCGGCTACGGTATCGGGAAACTGTAATAAAGGCACAATCAGTTGATGGAGTTTGTAAAATACATGAAGATCGACTCACCTTGCGATGTTTCAGCGTCATAGATTGGACTCCTTTACGAATACAAGTATAAGACAGCATTAGCACAGTACTCGTTATAGGAAAAAACGGCAAACACGAGACATATATCACTGCAACCACTTTGTTCAATATTGCTGCAAACTTTTCTGCTTTGTCAACCACTGTGTACTCGATTTTAACGTTGTTCTGATCATCCAGCTCGAAAATTACGTTAGCCGGGTAGCAGAGTATCCCACGGGGAAATGTGTTACGTTTTAGAAACTTCCGAAAACTCTTATAGACGCGTCCAGTCATATCAACGTAGCAATCACAGCCTTCGCTTGGCTGACACTTGATGAGCAATGAAAACCTGGCCTCCCATCCTTTTTCCTCAGTATGCATTACAAAGACAAGCGGTATCAAAGTGAACCAGTATAGGGACGCAACACCGATGGGAACGTTACGGACGAGTTTCTTCAACATGCTCTCGAACATCTCGTTTGCCAAACTTACATCGCCCGTCTCTAAGCTGTGCTCTTGCGCTGCAATTTTTTCGTACGAAATCATTCCGGTAGCATAGGCGATCGTATTGATAACCTGAATGGAGTTTTCCGCCTTGGTCCACTTGTTCAAACGTTGTGATTCTATGTTCTCGGAGACAGTGAGGTCCAGTCCTCGAAGACCCATGCCATTGATGAATTTAACCACTTCCAAATGCTGATTAGATCCTTTGAATTCGACAACCTTAGGCTTCTCCATGACTATTTTCGCCACACTATGTACACTTCTTGATCGTACGGTTCACGGTAGTAGATTGATTGGGTTCAACCAAACTGATACTCTAGCTGTGGAAGTTCTACTGGATGGTGATTTTCGTTTGACTCTTCTCAGCAGTTAAAACGAAACATCCATACCATACTAAATAGCTCTCTCTCTTCTTGACTCTCGCAATCACATTTTTTCGAAAATTTCATAAGCCATAATGAAAACACACCATGATAGGAACGTATAATCATACACTCAAAATAATCGATCCGTTATTGTTATCGGAAAAATCACGAGGAGTCTCTCTTTTCACTTTAATGTGTAATTTACGTTACACAGGTAGAGTCTACGGGTTACCACATATGTATCAACGGAAGGGCCCTTTAAAGTCACTATGTTTTAATTCTATGTGCATTTCACGTAAACCCCAAGTGATATTCACATATGAAAAAAAAAAATGAGTGCCTCACTCATAATGGTACACAATTTGGTGGCATTGCAATGTGCAGGTTTACATGCCAGTTAAAATCTAGGGCTTGTTTTGGTGAGACTATTTCGTGTTGTGAGTATAATGACTGAACCCATTCTATCACAGACAAATGTTATGGTGAGAATAATTTGTAACCCGTTTCTTTATTTTAGTCTGACGGCAAGAAGTACCATGGAGTTAAACGCCCTTCCCGAGTCCTGTTCCGCTCGAATTAATTTCTTCCTCTGTGTGTACCTATATTTGCCATAATAAACATGCAATGGTATCAAGGAATACTGTAGGATCTTTTTTTTTCATTTCAGATCAAGAATACATTTTATTTAAACCGGAATCGACGTGAAAATTATTTTGAGTGTACGTTTGTGCTGACCATATCAAGAGCAAATTTTCATTATGTCGAAAGTAACATTCGCACCGATCGGCGAAAAAATAAAGTTTGGTATTGATGACCGAATAGTTATTCCTATTTCCAATCGAACACATATCATCTCACAGTGATAGCAATGTGTAATATATTAAGCAGGGTTTTAAGAAATTGGGTGACTTAAGTAACATTGAAACATATTTTGATCGGAAGGTTATTACGTCAAAAAGCAATTTGACCTTTGTTTCGACGTAATGAAAATTTGCTCTTGATATAATCGAGTTTCATTTGAACACTAAAGCACAATTCCGCTGAGTCCTAATCAAGAGCGCGAGAGATTTCTTGAGAATGGTTTTTCCAACTTTGAGATGATGTCTTTTGCTTTATAACTGTTCACACGCAATCGCTCGGCTGGTTCCCAAAATACAAAAAAAAACCTGTTCATTCATTTCGTGTCGCTCGCTGACTGGTTTCAAAACATGTGGGATGCTCATCTCTGTTTCGAAAAGTGAAAAAAAAATAGAAGGGTCTGTGCCTAGGGGCACGAACGGAGGCTTGACGTAGGACCGCTAGTGGACGGAACAAATATGTTGATCATTTAGTTCTTAACTCTTTCCGCTTTTGAATTGGTGGCGTTTGTTTTTCAAATGGTGGTCATACCAGTGCAAGTCGATGGCGGCGGCGGCCTAGTCATTCTGCATTCTGCCGGAAGCCTCTCCTCCGGTCGATGTGGGTGCTTTCTAGCTGCTTTTCTCCTCCCTTCCTTTCATTGGTGAAATGGTGAGTTGCGTGTTTATTCATTTTAGTTACAGAGTTGGAATCATTGATTTTGTCCCCTGCCCTTGGCTAGTTTTTGCACCTTGTTGCTGGTGGGCGGGCCTAATTTCATGCTTATTAGTGGAGTGTTGGAGACGGTAGGTTTATTTCCGGCGTTGCTGACTTATGCCGCGATAGAATGGCGCCATGGGCAGCCAATGGGGATTACTAAGCTTCCCCTCTCTGATAAACCACTGCATGAGAGAACCAAAGATCTAGTCTAGCAGTGATAGTCTCACACTTGTTACTCCTTTCATTGAGAGCCGCGTCGTAGTAGGCACTGACGTTGGATGTGATACTGGCGGGTTTTGCCGCAAATCACTCTTAATTTATTTATTTTTACGCATATAGATTTATTTGGGTTTGCAAGGGAATTATACTATTTTTTTTTTCCTTTTGTAAAAGTACGTTTATTTGTTGTTGATTGTTTCATTAAAATTATTTACATAATTATTTAAACCTTGACTTCAAAATTAAATTTCAGAGCATCAATATCTATCCTACCATTACAATTATCAATAAAGGTGATATAAATAAACAGAATCTTCAGTGTGTTCTTCCCTCCCCTTGGCTAGTTTTTGCACCTTGCTGTTGGTGGGCGGGCTTAATTTCATGCTTTTTAGTGGAGTGTTGGAGACGGTAGGTTATGGCCGGCGTTGCTGGCTCATGCCGCGATAGAATGGCGCCATGGGCAGGCAATGGGGATTACTAAGCTTCCCCTCTCTGATAAACCACTGCATGAGAGAACCAAAGATCTAGTCTAGCAGTGATAGTATCACACTTGTTACTCCTTCGATTGAGAGCCGCGTCGTAGTACGCTTATGTATAGGCACTGACGTTGGGTGTGATACTGGCGGGTTTTGCCGCAAATCACTCTTAATTTATTTATTTTTACGCAGATAGATTTATTTGGGTTTGCAAGGGAATTATACTATTGAAATATTTCAGAAAGTGCCCATCGGTGCTCCTTCTATTTGCGTGACAAGCTTTCATTGTTGTTTTCATTGAAGTATTACTCAGGGAACAATGTTAAACACCATTTTTGTACATGGTATTGTAACTAATCTTATATGTGCTTCATTTTGATTTGGGATAAGTGTTTGAACTATGACTCGGGATTTCCACTGTGGTGTGCTTCTATTGTGACATACCCATATGTATTTTTGTGGTGCGACATAGTGGAAACGTGAGAGCGTAATTGGAACATTTACGCTATACAATATACAAATTAAAATTAGCTTGGAAACTTACTTCAAAGTGAAGCATTTTAGTCACTTGAAGGTGTCACCTGGGACGAACAAAGATATAATTAATATATTTTAAAAGCCAGAAGTACTTGAAACACGTTAAATTTAAGTTTAAAAGCATGGGTTATGATTGTGTAGGTAGATTAGAGATTTCAATTATTTATTAAATAAACTTCAATTAGAGAATTCAGAAAGTTAATTAACATAAGAGATAGGACGCGGGGGGTCCGCTTAGGGAGGCGGCTAGCTTTTGAAGTTGTATAATAAATCATCCTATTTAGTGTATTTGTTAAAATTACAGGCAATGTTAATAGAGAAAGTCATATCTTCAACCAGACGCTTACGAACAAGTGAAGTTTTAGCAAATATTATAAATTAACAATATGGTTCACTTCCAGAATTCCCATACATTTCTGAAAAGACGCATAAGTAATACCCTCTCCCGGTGAGAAAGGTGACTAAAAACATTCGTGGCCTTCTTATTTAAGCGTGTAATGAATTCATACGTTTAGTCAAATAAAAGGTGTGGCAAACAGTATTAGCTTTCTCATGCATGTTACACGCCTACTCTGACTTCATGACACTGTACTACGTTCAGACTATAGTTGATATTAATAACGTAATAACGTTATATAATATTATATCAAAAGTGCCTAAATAACGTGATATCTGCTATAGTTTGAATGTACAATAAGCTTAGAGGTAATCAAAACAAATAAAAGAAAATGCAGATTATATCTGCCATCCCTCTTTACATACCACATTGGCAACTGACAGGAAGAAAACTTTCAACACGCTAATAATCGTTAACCCAATTTTGGGTAATAGATTAACAAACACGGTAAGAAAAAAACACTCAAAAACACTTGAGTTCAAAAAAAGATCAAAAACAAAAAACATAAAAATGAATTCGATTTTCAGTTAAAAGTACTCACCCGAGTACTCAACCGTCATGTTTTCACCATTGGGAAATTTAACTTATTTTTGGATGAAAATCATAGCAACCTGTGCTGCCTTTGATTCTGTCATTCGCCTTCGTTCGTGCTCCATTATTGGCGTTGACGGCACCGTCGAAAAATGGTCTCTTCTAGGAATGATTGACAGTTTTTTATGGGATTTTTCGGTGAAGTGAAAGGATAGTACCAACGATCAATTCGAAACTAAAGATTTTAAATAGGCTCACTACTTGACTAGCCTATTGGTCCCAAGCAAATAGATTAACGTATTCCATTCTAGTATAAATTCCAGTACTACACTATGTTTGTTTTGATTCGCTATGAAAGTTTGACAGATAAAATGAGGGGTTCGTGGATTTTCCAATGTTTCGAGGGGTGCATCGATTAGCTTGGGACCGAAGATAGTACCAGAGCTGAGCCAAAATGTTGAGCTCGTTTCTTTGGGACCTTCTGGTCTTAGAGTTACCTCTATGATAGAACCATAAATATACACAGATATAAGACCAGAAGATCCCGAAAAAATGTGCTCAACTTTTTGGCTCAGTTCTGGTACTATCTTCGGTCCCAAGCTAATCGATGTACCCCTCGAAACATAGGAAAATCCACGAACCCCTCATTTTATCTGAATCAAAACAAAAATAGTGTAGTACTAGAATTTCGACTAGAATAGGGTACGTTAATCGATTTGCTTGGGACCAATAGGCTATTCAGGTAGTGAAACAATTTAAAATCGTTAGTGTATATACTAACCCTTGAGTTTTGTTGTTCGGATTGTAGAAATCGGAATCTTGAAAATGCAACGAACAAATTAGACTGCTCTTATTGAGTGACGGGTTGCGACAGAAGTTTGTCCAGGCATCCACTTCCCTAAAATTTTGTAAACTTTGGTATGGCTTAGCTGAAATTTACTATATTTCCAAATCGGTTTACCTGTTTGAAGCATTAATCCGGAAGAAAGAAATCCTAGAAGGGCCTTCTTTCGAGCTGGAACATCCAGAAACAGCGCAAAATGATCGACCCATAGCGTTAAAAAAAAATTACCAAAACGATCCAGATAGTTTAAATGTTTAGCAAACAGAGAAATTGACAGATGTTAGCGGTACGCGGTCCATGCAA